CACATTATCATCACTTCTACTTATAAAAGAGCTTCTGTTGTTGAATGTATTCCTCCTTCCAAAAATATTTTTCCTAGTTGATATTTTTAGCATTTGTGTCTTTGTATTCAGTGCTCAAGTGAGTGGGAAGGTAAATAAACGCCTGAAAAGTGCCCATAAGATACCTGAAAAAGGACAAACTAAAACTGTGAGGGGACAGTGAGATCAGAACATTCTGAGAGTAAGTAATTAGGAAAGGCATTAAGGAGTCAGAATGGAATGGGTGAAATAAGGCTGAGGGCTAGGGTAAGTATTCTCTGATGTAAATGTGTAAGGTGCATCACAAATAACCAGTATCTACCATGCACACAACCTTTACTGCCACTAACAGTAGGTAATATTTACATGTTTGCAAAGCATGTAACAGAGAATAAGCAGATTGAACTTAACCAAAGTGTTTTCAGAGTTAGGACTCGTACTCAAGTCTATCTGGCACTCGATATTCAGGCCAATATACTTCCTCTGAGCCTTTGAAGATTTGTAAGAGAATGTCCATTATCATCTCTTAACTAATGTCTTGGAAATAATAGTTAATGAAGAAACCATGTGTTTTGATGTAGGAACATTGAAAAGGGGGAAGCATATTGTGGTAGATGATATGATTGGTGCCCAGAAAACACTAGAAAAAATAAAGAAGTCAGTAATTACAGAATGAGTATGTATGTACAGTTGACCCTTGAACAATCTGAGTTTGAATTGCTTGGGTCCACTTACATGTGGATTTTTTTCAAAAAATTCATACAGCACTGTAAATGTTATTTTCTCTTCCTTATGATTTTCTTAATAACATTTTCTTTTCTCTAAGCTTACTTTATTGTAAGAATACATATAACATACAAAGTATGTGTTAATAAACTTTGTTATCAGTAAAGCTTCCGGTCATTAGTTAAGTTTTGGCAGAGTCAGAAGTTACATGTGGCCCTAGCCAGTGTGGCTCAGTGGATAGAACGCCATCCTGCACCCAGGCTCCTCCCTGGCCGCAGCCCTGGTCCGAGCTTGTGCAGGAGGCAACCAGTCAGTGTGTTTCTCTCACATCGATGTTTCTCTCTGTCTTTCCCTCTTTCTTCCACTCTCCCTAAAAATCAATGGAAAAATATCCTTGTGTGAGGATTAACAACAGCAAAAGTTATATGTGAATTTTTTTACTTTATGGGGGTGGGGTTGGTGCCCTTAAGCCTCATGTTGTTCCAGGTTCAACTGTAAAAATGAGATCATATGGTATTTATCTTTTTCTGTCTGACTTATTTAACTTAATGTCTTCAAGGTCTATCCATGTTGTTGTAAATAGCAAGATTTCATTCTTTTTTTAGTAGCTGAATAATATTCCATTTTTATAGCTGAACAATATGATGTTTTCTTTACCCATTCATTCATCAATGAACATTTAGGTTATTCCATGTCTTGGCTATTATAAATAACTAGGGGCCCATTGCACAAATTCGTGCTCCTTGAAAGTAACAGTGGGGCCATGAGGCCGCAGTGGGCACAGGGGCAGGTCTCATCCCATCCTCCGGCCCCCTCACCCAGCCCCTCCTGCCATGGCCCCCCATCACTGCTGTTCCCATGTGCTGATGGCGCCGGCCCCACTTGCACCCGCTAATGGCGCCGAGCAGCAATTGGGGCCAGCATTGTCCGCAATCATGAGCAGCGGCTGCTGCCACGATCGCCCCTCAGGAGCAGGGGGAGGTAGAGAAGCCCTCAGGGTGATCACCGCCACTCACACCATCTGACAGTGCTAAGTGATCAGAGCCAGCAGTGGGTGCGAGTGCTGGGTGGGACCATGGCATGCATGATAGCAAAGAATTTTCAGTAACCACAGAAGCTCGCCCCGATGACAGCAACTGGTGCCCCGCCTTGTTCTGGTGCCCCTGCTCACCTGCTCCACCATCCTGCTGCGGCCAACGCCCACCATGTTCTGTGTGCACCCCCTAGTGTCAGCACACATCATAGCGACCAATTGTTCGGATGTAACGCCATTCAGTCTATTTGCATTTTAGGGTTTTATAATATACAGATGCTTCAATGAACATGACAGTGCATATGTGTTTTTGAATTAATATTTTCATTTTCATCAGGTAAATACCCAGAAGTAGAATTCTAGATCATATGTTAGTTGTAGTTTCAATTTTTTGAGGAATCCCTCCCTATGCTGTTTTCCATAGTGGCTGTGTACATTTTCCATTAACAGTGCACAAGAATTCCCTTTTTTCAACATCATTGCTGACACTTGTTGCTTGTCTTTTTGATGACAGTCATTTTAACAGATGTGAGATTTTCTCATTGTGGTTTTGATTTGCATTTCCCTGATGATTATTGATGTTGAACATCTTTTCATGTAGCTTTTTGGTATGTGGGACAACGCTCCAACCAACTGAGCCACCTGGCTGGAGCAATGAGATTATTTTCTTAATTTCTCTCTGTGATAGCTTTTAGTAATGTACAGAAGTGCAGCCGTTCATGTATACTGATTTTATATCCTACAACTTGAGTAAACCTGATGTTCAAGTAAATTGAACTTGAATCTCCTGTGGCCTACCATCTTTCAACATGTTTTTTGACTCTTGAGAGAAGTTTTTGTTACTGCAACTCATGACTGCCTTTGTTTTATTTAACAGCATGAACACCACAGTGTCTGGGAGCCCCTACAAGTGTGATCCAGACGCTGCCAAAGCCATTGTGGATGCTGTACGTAAATGCTTCCTTGAAAAAGGACAAATATGGTGCTAAATGGGGAGGGAAAGCACTGCTTTCACCAACTGCTAGAGTACCTCCTGTATGCATATTACTGTGTGAGGTCTTGAACTTACAAAACATGAACACACGTAAGCAAACATTTGACTGCATGTAAAAGCTGAATAGTGTCCTAGTCCACCCTCAATGGGGCAGATAGCAAAGTAGTACAATTTGTACTACTAACCCAAGTGCCTATGTACCTATTACAGGCCATTTTTCACAAAAGAATCAACAGGAACTTACTTGTCAAGGTCAGTTAAAGTTATCACATTTTAGGTATTGTTGCAGGGGTGGTTCATAATCCTAGAAAAGATTTTCATGTAAGGCAGTTAAATTTTTAAATTATCTATTTCAGAGAGGAAGGGAGAGAGAGGTAGACACATCAGTGATGAGAGAGAATCATAGATCGGCTGCCTTCTGCATGCCCCCCACTATGGATCGAGCCCGCAACACAGGCATGGGCCCTGACCTGGAATCAAACTGTGACCTCCTGGCTAATAGGTTGATGCTCGACCACTGAGCCACGCTGGCCAGGCTAAGGCAGTAAACTTTTCATCAAAGAAATATTGTAATTTTGTTTCTGTACTATTTTTTTATCTGATTCAGATTAACCAATATATTTAACTAGATCATCTTAATTTATTCTCATTTACAATATTAAATAAGGAAAACAAAATTAGATCTGATTTTGTACTGCTTTTTAATTGAGTAAAAGGAAAAATAATTTAGTTATAAAGCCAATAATGGATATTTATTTTTATGTATGAATCCTGACAAAGTTGAAACGAATAAGAAAATTTGGATAGGAAAAGGTATTGGTTGGCAATCATAATGTCTCAATGAGAACACTCTGCCTACATTATATATTTATAATATATATTAAATCACCATGTGTGTAAATCATGCCGGGACCGGTTTGGCTCAATGGATAGAGTGTCGGCTTGGGGACTGAAGGGCCCCAGGTTGGATTCTGGTCAAGGGCATGTACCTTGGTTGCGGGCATATCCCCAGTGTGTGGGGGGGGGGGAGTGCAAGAGGCAGCTGATCTATGACTCTCTCTCATCGATGTTTCTAACTCTCTGTCTCTCTCCCTTCCTCTCTGTACAAAATCAATAAAATATTTTTTTTAAAAAAAATCACTATGTGTGTAAATAAGTTTTTATTCTTTATTTCAAAATACGTTTATTTTTATTATTCTCATGTGTGTCATTAAAAGGGGCTTGGATTTGTTAACTTTTTTAGCAGTAGAGCAAACATTGCCTTATTCCTATATTATTTTTTGAACCTAAAAATTAGAATAGTCTTCTGTTCAGATTCATTTTCATTTTTGTCAGTATACTTTTTTAGTTTTTTTTTTTTTTTTTTAAGGATTAGACTAATATATTTTAATATTTTGTTTTAGTTACCACCACCATGTGAATCTGCCTGCACAATACCTGCAGATGGTAAGAACAATATCCTAATAAATTACATTAAACCTTATGTGAATGTGTGGGAAAATTATATCTATAGATAAATCTTACATACCGCATCCATACAAAGAAAGAAAAGGGGAGAGGAAACATTTGTCGAGTTTCATAATGTCTGTAGAAAGGAAGATGGTTGTACGCACCACCTCTGGTGTCAGCCCTGATCACAGCCGTTTCCGCACCATGGCCCACTCTGGCGTCTGGGTACATGCTTCATGGGCACTGGAGCAGGCTGGGCTCTGGGTCCCCATCTGGCCCCAGGCTGCTTCACCCAGAACGAGTTCTCTCCCCCTCTAGATTGAGAATTCGCTATCAGGTTCCTCTCATGAGAAGCACAAGTTTATATGATTAGTATCAAGAGTAAGGAAGCCTAAATGAAAGCACTGGTAAATTACCTATGTTTGCAATAGTGAAACTTGTAAGTATGAAAGTTTGTTTTAAGATAATCAATAATAGGACACATTAAAGCAAATATATTCTTCTTTGTTACATGTTGGGTATATTTTGATTCTTAATGAGGGTTCTAATTTGTTTTTCTTTTCTCTAAATATAGTGGATAAATGGTTCCATCACCAGAAAAACTAAGGAAATTTCTCCGGAATACAAGCTGATATTACTGCATCATATTCATCTGGAAGTATTAGATGCAAAAGTAGTGGCTTTTCTAAGCTTTAAATTTATAGAACTAATCTAACAAAGAAAATTCTGCTGTGACCAATCCAATATATTTAGTATGTTATCCATATGTAAGCATTTTTCATCTCAGCTAAGATAACTATGAGCACATGCTTAAATATCAAAGCAGTTATTGGAATTTGGAAGTCATTTGTGAATAAATGTGCGAGATATTGGATGTATATGTTTACTATGTGTTAGGAAATAAAATTATTTTGCTGAAATTTGTCTTATATTTTCATTTTAATCTGAAGCCAGACATTACCAAGCAGGCATGGGTGCTATTTGTTGTTCAATAATTTTTAGACTAAAACTGATTTTACTTTTAGGAATCTGAGAATGAAATTCCTTATTTTTACAGTAGTCTTGCTACTGTGGTCTTGCCTAATTCCTACCATCCCACTGTAAAGCAAAAGCTTTTAAATTTATATCATATTAGCAGAAAACACAACCTTGCTCACCTTTTTTTAAAATTACTTTTTTGAGTAAGGTATCACATATTTGTCTTCATCCCCCCACCCACCCATTCCCTTCCCAAACCTCTCCCCATGTATGCCCCCTCGCCCCTGTTGTTCGTGACCACTGGTTAGGCTCATATGCAAGCACAAAGTCCTTTGGTTGATCTCTCTCCCTTACTCCACCTTCCCCTTCCTTCCCTCTGAGGTTTGACAGTCTGACCGATGCTGTTCTTGTTCATCAGTCTATGTTGTTCATTATTTCCCCTAGATCAGTGTTTCCCAAAGTGTGGTACGCGTACCCCCAGGGGTACGGGAAGAGTTTGGTGGGGGTACGCACTGCACCGTGCTTAGCTGCGCCTAATTCTACGTTCTCGTGAGTGCGAGGGGTACTCAGCGTTACGAAAATTATAGAAGGGGTACACATATGTCAAAAGTTTGGGAAACACTGCCCTAGATGAGTAAGCTCATGTGATACTAGAAATACATTTATAAGAACCGAAAATGAGACAAACAATATTGGTTCTGCCGAGAGGCAAATTAATCAGTCAATAGTGAGTTTTCTTTCTGGGCCAACGGTTCTTTTGAGTCCCAATTTCTATGTCAAACAGTTCCTTATGTGTATATATCAGCAATGATATTTCACTTCTGGATGGTGGACAAATGGTGGTAATGCAGGTCCGACCCTCTCTGGTTTGGTCCTGGGCAACCTGCAGTGACACACAGCTGCTGACTGTTAGTATGGCAAGGCGTCGTCAGCGTCTTCCATTTCTGGACTGCTTCTCTTCTGTCTTCATGGCTTGAGCACTCCTGTCAATTCCTCTCTGTTGCAGGAATCCCCATGGTCTCAGAGTTGTTTTCTGAAAATATGTATATTCTCAATCAAAAGTTAATAAAGGAATCTTCTATAAATTTGACTTGTGATCCTTTTTCATTTTTTGCCCAAATGATTTTCCTTTGGCTTGTTTTGACACCATGTATGTTTTACATGGGTGTCTTGCCTTGCTCACCGTTTGAAGTGATAGTTACCTTCTTTACTTCCCTAGGCAACTAATTGAACTCTTAAGTTATTTTCATTATTCTCTGAGTTATCAGCCAGAATAGCTTTGTGATTAAGTTCGTGGGCTGTGGACCTGTACAGACCTGAGTTTTTAATCCTAGCCCATCTACTTATTAATTCTGTAATCTTAGGTCAGTTCCCACCCAATTCCGTTCCTTCATTTGTAAAAAGAGATGAGCCAGGCTGGCGTGGCTCAGTGGTTGAGCATCCACCTATGAATCAGGAGCTCACGGTTCGATTCCCAGTGTGGGGCGTGTAGGAGGCAGCCAATCAGTGATTCTCTTTTTGATGTTTTTACCTATCTCTCCCTCTCCCTTCCTCTCTGAAATCTATACAAATATATATATTTTTTAAAGTGAAGAGTTGCCGAAACCGGTTTGGCTCAATGGATAGAGCGTTGGCGTGGGGCCTGAAAGGTCCGGGGTTCGATTCTGGTCAAGGGCATGTACCTTGGTTGCGGGCATATCCCCAGTGGGGGGTGTGCAAGAAGCAGCTGATCAATGACTCTCTCTCATCGATGTTTCTAACTCTATCTCTCTCCCTTCCTCTCTGTACAAAATTATATATATATATATATATATATATATATATATATATATATATGAAGAGATGTGATTCACATATATTAAGCCAACATTTTGAAATTTTTAATGAGATCATTGTGTCACAGGCAGCAGTAAGAAATAGAGGGATTCTCTCTAGATTTCCCCAAAGGTAAGATTTTGTAAAACTATAGTATATCACAGCCAGGACACTGACCTTTATACAATCCATCGATCTTATTATACAAGGTAATCACCTATGTAAGTTCTTGCATCCTACAAGATACTAATTCTTTCCTATGTTTTTCTCTAAAAGTCTATGGTCCATTTTGAGTTTGTTGTATAAGGTGTTAAGGTTTAAGTCAAAGTTCTTTCCCCCCCCCTTCCTATGGATGTTCAGTTGCTTCAGTTCGATTTGTTACAAGGTTTTTCTTCATTAAATTGGTTTTGTGCTTCTGGTAAGTACCAGATGCCTGGGTCTCTTTCTGGGTCCTCTGCTTGTTCCACTGACCTATGTGTTTGTCCCCCTCTCAGTACCACACTCTAGACTTCTGTAGCAACATGGTAAGCCTTACTACCACTTGGAGGACTTCCTCCCACTTCAGTCTCTATCAGGATTTATTTTACTAGTTGTTTAAATGTGCCTTCTCATTTAAAATTTTTTTCTATCTTCTCTATTATCCTCACTCAAGGATATTTTTCCATTGATTTTTAGAGAGTGTGGAAGAGAGAGGGAAAGACAAAGAAAACACCGATGTGAGAGGAACACATCGATTGGTTGCCTTCTGCATTCACCCTGACCAGGTCCAGGCAGGGAGGAGCCTGCAACCAAGTTATGTGCCCTTGACCTGAATCAAACCAGGGACTCTTCAGTCCACAGGCCAACGCTCTAGCCACTGAGCCAAACTGGCTAGGGCAGTGATAGCCAAACCGCGGCTCTGGCCCCTTGAGTGTGGCTCTTTCACAAAATACCACGGCCTGGGCAAGTCTATTTTGAAGTGGCATTAGAAGAAGTTTGAGTTTAAAAAATTTGGCTCTCAAAAAGAAATTTCAATTGTTGTACTGTTGATATTTGGCTCTGTTGACTAATGAGTTTGCCAACCACTGGGCTAGGGCTAATTTAAAAAATTATATATATATATTTCAGAGAGTAAGGGAGAGAGAGGGGAGAGATAGAAACATCAATAATGAGAGAATCATTAGCTGCCTCCTTCACTCTCCTTACTGGGGATTGAGCCTGCAACCTAGTCGTGTGCCCTGGCTGGGAATTGAACCCTGACTTCCTGGTTCATAGGTCAAAGCTCAACTGCTGAGCCACACTGGCCAGGCCTCATTTAAATTTTAAAATAATACTTTCCTATGTCTGTTGTTGAGGCTTATAAAAAATCTTGCTGAGATTATGATAGATCAATTTTAGCCATGTGCTTACTTTCCTATTGTGTTTGTTAGTGATTTCAATTCCATTAAGATCAGAAAACACACTATGTATGATTTCAATACTTTTTATATTGTTAAGGTTGTTTTATGGCCCAGAATGTGGTCTGATTTGGGGCATGTTCCACGGGTGCTTAGAAAAAAACGTATTTTGATGGTGTTGGGTGGAATATTACATTTATGTTAACTAACTCCTGTAGATTGGTGGAAGTGTTCTGTATCCTTGATTTTCATCAGTTTTATCAGTTGCTGAAAGGAGGGTGTTGAAGTCCTCAGTGATGACTGTAGCTTTGTCTCCCTTTCCGGCTCTCTCAGGGCGTGTGTGTGCTTTCATGTATCGTATTTTGAGGCTCTGTTGTTTGGTGTGCACCCACTTTAGATCTCTAAGTCTTCCTGGTGGATTTATTTTTACATCATTATGTAATTTCCTCCTTGTCTTTAGTAATTTTCTTTCTTCTGTAGTCCACCTTATCGGAGATTAATATATTATAGACACTTTTTAAATTAATGTTGGCAAGGTCTATCTTTTTTATTATTTTATTTTTCAACCTACATATGTTGTTGAATTTGAAGTAAATTCTTATAAGCATCATATAGTTGAGTTGTAATTTTTTTTTTACCCATTCTTTTAATTGATATGTTCAGACCAGTGATTTTCAACCTTTTTCATCTCATGGTACATTTAATAAATTAATTACCAAAATTCTGTGGCACATCAAAAATAGGTATAATTTTGATTCATTCATACCGGATGGCTATTGTTGTGTTGGCTGTTGCCATTTTTTTATTTGACAGTCTAAGGGAAAAGAGGTCACTGTCCCTGACTAAATAGTCAGTTATTGCATGTTTTAAAATATTTTGTGGCACACTGGTTGTAAATCACTAATTTAGACCATTTTCATTTAAGATAATTATTGCCAGATAGCACTTTATCCTGTTTGGAGTTTGCTCTGCTTCTTGTGTCTGTAAGTTTGTGTCTTTCACCAAATCTGAGAAAATGTTCAGCCATATTTCTTCAAATACTCTTTCTGCCCACTCTCCTCTCTTCTGAGACTCTGATAATATGAATGCTGGGTCTTTTGTTATTGTCCCACAGGTCTGTAGGTTCTGTCTCACTCCACCCCCCAGACTATTTTCTTTTTCAGACTGTGTGAGCTCTCTTGTTCTGTCCTCATTCACCGAGTATCCTGTCATCTCCGCTCTAATTTTTTTTATTGTTTAAAGTATTATAAATAGAAGTACATGTTTCCTTTTTTTCCCCCCAGTTGACCTTACCCCAGCCCAGCAAGTCTTTTCTTTCTGTTAATTTTTTTTTTTCAGTTCTACTATTTCCATTGGTTCTTTTTTTTTTTTTTTTTTTTGTAACTACTATTTCTTTGCTAAGAGATTTTAAAAAATATTTTAGCTTATTTCAAGGGAATTTCTAATGACTGTCTAATTGCAGCTGCTTACAAATTTGTACAAATATTCACCTGTTGTCATCCACTGATTGTCTTTCCACATTCAAGTTGTGCTTTTCCTGGTTCTCAATCTGATGGGTGGTTGGTAACAGTGCCCTAGACATTTCGCCTGCTGTGTTAGGAGACTCTAGGTCCTATTGAAATCTTCTGTTTTTGCAGGTATCATCCTTCTTGGGTTAACAGGTATGTTTTGGTCTGCTTTTGTGGTCTCAAGGGCAGTATGATTTTCAGAAGCTTTGCAGGTTCATTTTGGCCCACGTGGTTTATCCGGTGCTGCTGGGACTTCTGTTGATCCCTGCAGGTGCTGCCTGAGGGTAGGTGGGTATCTCCTGGTGGAGGAGGGGTGTGGAGGTCCCCCAACTGGTCCTCCCAACCCACCCATCTGCCCTAGTGCCTCTGGATGGGAGAGGAGAGTCTTAGGTCAAAGGAATAAAGAGGCTTCCTGAATCGGTCCACCCATTACAACTGGATTTCTCCCTCAGGCTCAGCTCCACTGCCCCACATCTAGATAACTCTTGGAAAAGGGGCGTCTCAGGCCTTGTGTGGAAGGAGAGTGCCTCCCCTGGGAGATATAGATATATATATATATATACACACACACACACACACACACACACACACACACACACATATATATATATATATATATATATATATATATATATATATATTTTTTTTTTTTTTTTTTAGAGGCCTGGTGCATGAATTCGTGCATGGGTGGGGGTTCGGCCAGCCTGGCTAGGGCAAGGGGACATGGGCAGTTGGCCAGCCTGCCTACTGGTCGAACTCCTGGTCAAGGGGGCAATTTGTATTATTAGCCTTTTATTATATAGGATATACACTGAGTGGCCAGATTATTATGCATTCAGAGATCATAATAATCTGGCCACTCTGTATATAATAGATAAAATAGATAGATTATAGATAGATAGCTGGTCCTCATTATTTCTCATTGTTTGCAGATTCCAGAATTTGCCTTCTCTCTAAAATTTACCTGTAACCCCAAAATCAATACTTACCGTGCTTTTTTAATGGTCATTTACAGACATGCAGAGTGGCAAAAAATCTGTCACCTGATGTGTTCATTCCAGCTGAGGTCAAACAAGGGGACACTGCCTTCTTGTTCCAGCTCTCATATTGTAAACAAGTGTCCACTGGGGTCTAGGTTTTCCCCTCTGTGTGCTTTTTTTGGTGATTTCGCTGTTTAAGTAGCCCCTGAGTGCGGTGCAGTGCTCTCTAGTGTTTCTCAGCAAAGGCTGTGCTGTGTTTTAGGGAGAAAATACTTGTACTATATAAGCTTTGCTCAGGTAGGAATTAAACTCCTGTTGGCCATGAGTTCAATGTTAATAAGTCAACAAAATATTTTAAATAAGCGGCCTTTAAGCAGAAACACACATAAAATAAGGCTATGTATTGTGAACAGAGGATTGCAAGAACTTGCTTCTGTATTTCCCCCACCAGCAATGGTGCAGTATAGGCTAATTCTGTGTTTGGGGTGAATTTATAGAACATAACTACTGCGAATAATGAGAATCAGCTGAATATAGGTACTCATGTATATTTTTAAAGCAAAATTGGGAAGTTGACTTACACCTTTGTAACCTGCTATTTCAGCTT